TTATTTTTGATAGCATATTTGGATACAGTGACAAATTTTCTCCAATTATAGCTTTGATTTAAACAGTTATGTCATTTAAATCATTTTTCATGACATTTTAAAAAAACTTGGGCCAAATCTCCATTGGTGCAATGTTGAAATTCATTAAAACCTTGGTTTATTCATATGACAACCAATATTTTCATGGTTAATCACAATATGTACATTGACAGGGTCATCCAATAGTATGCCATTCGGGTTTCAGACAGATTCAACCAACACTTTTTGATAAATCATGAAATTAAGTGACTGTTGCAAGTTTCTAGCATTGGAGTGAGTGGAGGTCTGGCCCTAGAAAATCAAAGACAAACAAGGGTGACATCTATTATGTCAGCACTTTTCAGCTATTTAGAAACTATCACACTACTATACCTTGCATTAGGTGTTCATGAGCAACCCATTTGGCTTATTAGTAATGATTATGTATTTGTTTTTATTTGTCCGTTCCTTATGAATGGTTTATCGGTTAAAAACTATATGCTAGTAAGGCACTTTCAAAAATATATTAAACAATTCAATTAGACAAACAAAGTATCTTATGCATTTCTAGGTGTTATGTATAGTAGTGTGACTATACTTACACCTATTTTTCAAACGGGGTAAACGTTAGAGGCGCCTTTATAAAACGCATGGTGTTATTCCAGCAAGTAAGTTGATAAGGCTATATTTGTTTTCAGAACTTCAAATCTGACTTTATATTTAAGATTTGACCTTCAATGACCTTTTCAATTTTTTTCAAAATCATGTTTTTATCATCATGTTCAAGTTATCAGAAGTTCAAATCTGACTTTAGATTTGAGATGTCACCTTCAATGACAGAATGATCTTCCCAGGCTCAAAAAGGGTCTTTTTCAACTTGCTTTGAAGGATGACGGAAGTTAGTGCAACAGCTTCTTGAGAGTTGATAATTTTTTGGCGAGTAGTTTCTGACTGTAAAAAATAAATGCATATGCAAGACCAATGCATAATCTTCGAGAAAAGTTCAAAGAATGGTTCCAAGATCAATTGGATTATCTCATAATTCGCGTTTAATCCACCCATTAACAAGTTTTTTTTTCAAAATACAATCGTTGTTTTCACCATCATCCATCAATTTTTTACAATTTTTAATGCAAAGTTACATTGTACTTTGAACACATGTTTCATCACACAAAATATATAAATCATTCCATAAAGGGATTTATATTTGGTTTTTGAGTTTTTTCGAAAAAACAACCTTTAAAAATGCACGTTTACAGAAATAATTTAGAAGTGATGCAAAAGGTGGCAATGCTTTTCAATAACATAAATATTTTGGTGATTTACTCATGTGTGTTGTGTTTTAATTAATTAGGCAATGTAGAATCAATTAGAGAATTAATTATCAAAAGTCAGTGTACGGAGCCAGATGCAATATTGGAAGAAAACATAAAACCAAATGCTGACTGCATCCTTTTCATTCAATGTACCAAGAAAAATCCAAATTACTCCTCTTTGCAATGGAATATCATTCATTCACAGGGAGTCGTAACTGGCCGAATAATCATTAATTTTGCAAAGTGGGGCAAAATTCAGCTCGGACCCAAGTTTTAAACATTGCATAAATCAGTCTATTGGAAGAAGGTGTGACAGGTGTGACAGAGACAGTAAAGTGTTCATACTCATACTCTTGCAAGAATATATCCTATACCCCTCCAAATTGCCACCACTTCCTTGCACATAAAGATGCGCTCATCTGTCCACGTCATGCATGGATCAGCCCTCATATGTGGGTTAAAGCAGAAAAAACAGCCCATGGACAATTCTTTCTCGAGGTTTTGCAATATCTGGTGGAGGAATTGTGTGCACAGATGCTCCTGAGATAGCTCCAAAAGAAAAAGTCACAACAATTCAAGTCAGGGGAACTTCCATTGGCACTTAGCCCTTGCACTGATTTTTGCAATATCTAAAACTTGGTCCAGAGCCGATTTTAACCAACTGTGCAAATGGAAGGATTTCTCACCCAACCATTGCCACATGTGAATTAATGACATATCTTTGCAAAGAGGAGAGACGTGGCTTCATGGTACATTGAATGAAATTGATGTAGCCATCACTAGTTTTGTGATTTTACGAGATATTGCAGTGAACGGATATTGGGAAGTTGTCCCATATATCATATCATACCATAAAATAACATACCATAAAATGGTACGATACTGTAATTGGAAAGCAGCAGTTTACAATTTAAAATTCTTCTTTGTTTATTAAGGAGAAACGAAGGGTCCCAGGCCCGTAGCCAGGGGCATTCGCAGGGTTCGGTCTGGGTCCATACTAGAGTTAATATTGACATCAGGATCAGTTTAGGTACCATTGATATATTCACTCAGACTGATTTCAATTGCAACTGAAATCCAAAACAAAATCCATAATATGGTTCATAAAACGTCTTTGATAAAGATTTATTCATATGACAACCAATATTTTCATGGTTAATCACAATATGTACATTGACAGGGAAAATTCTCATATTTTCAACATGGGAATTCCTCACTCCGGCAAATCCATGACGAATTATTTATGGCCAAAACTATACATGTAGTTGCAGAACTCAACCATTCGCTGAATACATGCTCAGGTTTTGACCACTTAGGGATCAATACAACATTTGTACATAGACGTCCTTGATTTGAATTAGCAGGTACGCGTAATTAGTTTTAAACGGAATCGATTTCTTAGTTATGTGCCAAATTAGCTAATTTTCTTGACGTGATCAACGCAAACTTAAATATGACGACTTGGCAAATAGGCTAGATTTTAAAATATAGAAATCTAATTAGTTGCATTATTTTGTATTTAGTCTTTTTCAAGTCCCCTTCTTTCCTTGTGTTTACTAAACCGCAAAGCAAGAACTTTGATTCAAACTATTGGATTCATTTATAAACATATTTCTCAAAAATACATGAACCGTAGTTTGCAGTGAAACATGTTGCGTTATTAAAGTTTAGTTAACCCAAATATTTCCCCGAGCTCCTAATTTTCGGTTCAAAATAAACGCATCGTAACGAATAATGGCCATTAGGCGGATTAGAGTTAAAAGTCTTAATTTTGGTGGTGTCATTAACTTTGACTCTATAGCTCAGTTGGCTAGAGCGCTGTCAGCTGTCTTGCCGGTTTGGGTTCGACCCTCGAAATGGGTACTTTTTTTCTTTAACACTTCATATGGATCGCTAATATATATATGAAATATTTGACCGGAACTGACACTTAGAACGAGTTGGCCGGGTGGCATCGTAGTAGGTCCATAAACCGGGGGGTCAGTGGATCGAACCTAAGGAGGAACGGGCGCGATTATGTGTGGAAAGGTCTATAGTGCCTTGTGGTTTGAGTCTTTTCCGAGGCCTAGCGAGTCACGGATGTGAACTGCCCGCTCTTGGCAGGGATCAGAGATTAGGAACTCGACTCATTCCTCCCTTACTCATGCATATGATCTGTTCCGGAGCTTAGTACCATAGAGGGAGTCGGAACTCTTGTGTGGAAGCAATGCTCCTCAGGCTACGTCATTGCGACAAACGTCGAGTGTGAGATTGCGTACCACCCTCAATGACTGGGAAAACCTTTTGTTATTTTTTATGTTAAAAACCCCCCGTTTTGTTATATTTATTTTAAGATTCGAAAATTTCAGCTGAGTGAAATGGCGTCCAATATATAACTGTGTAGTCTACTGAAGTAATGCTGTGTTACTCAAACAGATCCGTTTAAGTGACATCTTATGTCGGAACCTGAAAGCTGAAAGCTGAAATATACGAGATAAAGATAATGTAGTTACGCTAAAATGGCTGATGAGCGTATGATAGACCGTAGGCCTACGGTCGCCGAGCAAATGTGACTCACTTTATTTTCCTTATACGTATCTGTATTGAGAAAATTAGAGAGTTTTCGACTTGTATACGAAAAGATAAGAAAATACCCAGTACGGAACAACTTAAAATAAGATATTTAGGGCCGTTTTGCCCCATGTTTTTTGTTACCGTATAATTTCAAAACGTTCAGAAATGATAAGATTGCGGCAAATTGCATTCAAATTCTTGAAATTTCCGGCCTCCTTTGTTCATCCATCGGCCTCGAAGTCAAAAATCAAGGCGCACCCCCTAACCTGAAATCCTTTATCCGCCCCTGATAAGTGGGCCTTTTGGGCATTATCACTGGGCCTTTTAACATGTTTAAGGCCTTATTTTTAAATTAAAGGCCAAATTTTACAGAAAATGGGCCTTAAATTTTCAAAATCCGACGTCCGACGTCCATTATTTGTGTTATGGAATGAAAGATTTTAGAAAGTGGAGTCGAGAAGATAACTGAGTTTACTTTATTTATTTACTAGTAGCCATAAAGTTAAAGGAACAAAATGCGTAAATTGTTAAGTCTCAATTTTGATCTTCATAGGCTAGTATTTCCAACCACTAGATCATGAAAAAATATTTTCGATCTATCAATTTATACATTTCAAGTTTTTAGCCCGTTTTTAGCAATGCCATTAAAAGATGGCATTGTTGTTTGCATTAATTATCCATTTATTTTTGATACAATTTTCAACCATCTTTTAATCCAAGAGTTATTCAAACATAGGCTACACTTTGTGACAAGTGGTGATTCACTTCTTTTGATCACTGAACTTCAAATGCTGTTTTCTGTGCAAGTAATTTTTTTCACTTCAGTAGGCTTTCAATTTTGTTGAAAGCCCATGGTTGACCCAAATTAAAGTTTTTCATGTTTTTATCATAGGCTACTTGATCGAGTGTGTGAGTAACATGTCTCAAATAAGATTTTGTCATTTTTCCTTCAAAAATGGGCCCATTGCCTGTTTAATATGCAGAGCGGACGTAGCAGGCAAACGTAGCCCTAAAACATTTTAAATTTCCCGCTTACATATATTTACGCCAACACCCCTCCATAAATCGAATCGCTCAGCAAGAAATGATGACGTCACTAGAATTTGCTTAGTAGTAAGTACACATTCAAACAGAAATACTCATGAAGGAATATCGCTGACAAAAAAACTAGGATTTAGCAGCATTAGTGTAGTAACTAGTCCAAAATGCCGGATGAATCGTAAGTTTAATTCCTCATGCATCGATTTCTGGACATTTTGTTGATGTGGCTTAACGTTTTGGTTTATGTTTTCAGGGTGAAAGTAGCGGTGAGAGTCCGCCCCTTCAATCAAAGGTAAGAACTCATACTTTTGCAAAGTAAAATTCTGTAGCTTAGATTTAGCCTTTCGATATCCAGGCCCGTAGACAGGGGGGAGCGGAGAGAGTGACCCCCCTCCCTGGCCAGAAATTCTTTCAAAATTATGCAGTTTTCCACCATGCACTATGATTTCTTTGCCAAAATTGAAAACTGTCAAAACCCCCCTTCCCTTAGCAAAAGCTTCCCCCTTGGTAAACCCCCCTTGCCTTGTAAATCCTGGCTATGGGCCTGGTATTGTATGTGTTATCATGGAAAGATGTATCAGCGGCAGCAGCTGAGGCCTCTATGGTTGCATTTGGCAACATGTCTCCAAGGAAATCATGTCAAAATGGGGCCTTTCCCCGGCATTCAAGATTTAAAACTTTGAGCTGAGAACACCGGCGGTTTTGGACCGTGGATTTTGTCAACCATGGCTGGTATCTCTTGTGTTGCCTCTTGGACAAATGTTGGAGATTTTGATTTATTTTTAATATTAAAAGGATCACTGGAGCCAAATTAAATTTGAATGTTGTATTAAACCTTTATGAAGAACATTCTTCTATATAACTGTACTTATATGAGAATTAAGTAGAAATGAACTCTGTTGATTAATGCTACCCCCATGAATGTGGGGGTGTTTTGACTTTTTTCTTATTTATGACATTTATTGGGGTTTGCCTTATCAAAGTCAAAAATAAAAAAAAGCAAACTGAATACACATTTATGGACACACAACTTTTCGCTATGAGAGAAAAATGTATAAGGACAAGGTAAAAGAGCCCCGATGGACCTGAAAGATAGATTCCTTATTAAGATTTACTGCATTTGTCATGTTTTTATTTCTTCAGGCCTAAATCGCTATGTTTGTTTCCATTCTGAAAATCAGATTGTTAATCCAAGTTCACTGCACTGTCGGAAGGTATTTTATCACTCTTTGCTGTACATTACACTTTCTCCGAGGACAAAATATTCTACCAGTGCCTATGACCAGGCTGCGTCATAATTGTCTGCCTAGTCAGCCCGGTTGACCAGTCCACCTCACGATCAACATAAAGTACATAATTCGTAAAAAAAATATACATGTCAGGCCCGTAGCCAGGATTTGCCAAGGGGGGTTCAGTTTTCAAAAATTTCCAGGGGGGTTCACATTTGACAATTTTGGTCCAAATATGGTTAAAATCACTTGAGAAATGCTCAAAATGGTGAAAAACTGCGTGATTTTGAATGAATTTTTGGCCAGGGGGGGGGGGGTTCGCCTGAACCCTGCGAACACCCCCTGGCTACGGGCCTGCATGTGACATACCTTCTATTTTTCCAACATTTCATCCTAATTTCATGAAATAAATTCACATTTCATTATAATATGACATTTACTGACAAGATTTTGTCTTTATAGGGAAAAAGACAGAGGTTCAAAATGTTGCATCAAAATGACAGGAGCCCAAACCTTAATCACAAACCCAGAAACTCCAAGTAAGTATTCTTCCATCAATATACTGTTTCAGTGTTCGATTTTAGCATGGGCTTTCAACTAGAATAATTGAAAGCCCATGATTTCAGCAACAGCAATCAAATTTGTTTCTTAATTAAAATAAACCAATTCAGCGCTATTTGTTTTCATCGAAATGGCAAGAAGCAGATATTTGCCTTTAATCAAGAAGTCAATCTTAAATCCTGAATTTCACGATCTTACTTTTCCTTATTAAATATACCGTATCCCAATTGTAAATATTATAAAATAGCAATCTGCATATGTGTTTAAAGTAATTTTTGAGGCCTTAAATACTTTAAAAAGGACTATTATTGTTTATTGTGCTAGATTTGATATTGTAGTTATCCATTGTAAAATTATAATATATCCCTCCCTAATTAGCCTTGTTTCAAAAACAACATGGGAGATCTCTATTTATAAATTCAGTTTTCCCTTACCCTATTTTATGGATTGTACTCTTATAAATTATAAGCATTTACTTTTTCCCGGATCACTTATGAGAGACAGGCGTATCAAGACATTTGATATTAATAAGCGTTATTATTGTGTACAAACCTTATTAATAACCTTACCTTCTAATTACAATTATGGAAACTAGAGCTTATAAAGTGAGGAAAAGGCAATAAATAGTATATTGCATATGTAGATTAGGACGGAAAAATATGAAAATATTAACAATACATATTCAATATCTTAGAAAAATTAAGTGCAGTCTGAATGAAAAATCTAAATCTGAATCTGCAGTCTGAATGATTTTTGCGAGGGTATCGGACACTGTTTTATTCTGTTTTTATCAATGAGTATTATTAGCTTGTTTAATGTTTATAGATTGTTGCCATGTATTTTGAAGTATAGCCCATGCAAAAAGTTCAGAAATATGGGAAATTTTATTAGAGGTTATGTTAAAGTCCCTATGTAAAGTTTGAAAACATTGTTTAATCATTCAATATTTTTGATAACTTAAAACATTTTTCAATTTAAACAAATGTTTCAAAGCAATGCATAAGCCTGTCAATGTTTTCCTTGCCATCCTATTTATTATGAAAGAAATTAAGGTACCAAATATATAAGTTATTGACGGTTTACATGTTGGAACAATGCATGAGTTAGCAAAAAATATTTTATGAGTTTCACAACTTATGCTGAACTCCCAAACTTTTTTCTGTCATCAAGGAAAATGAAATGAAATGATAAAATAATAAAATTGACACTGATTCTTTTATGAATAAGTTCTAAAATGCAAATGTCTACACGTCACTTGGAAAGCAGTATGATCAATATCAATTACTTAATTAATTAATTATTTGATTAATTAACAGCTGTAGTACTTTATCCAAGATGAATAATAAATGATTTGATTGGTTTGTGGCATAGCAATACACGAAATATCAAATATGTACTCACAAAGATTTGACCTCAGTTTTAACAAAATTATCTAAAATCTGAAATTTCTACATTTTCATGTTGAATGTGGCATATCTGTTAAGTTTAGATATTCATTCATTATCATTGTCATGTCTGTATACATAGACACGAATCATTCCTGTGTCGTATGCTAAGAGGCCGTCTGTTCTCATATGTTCATCTTTTTTTCTCTAAAATTTGATTGAACTACTTGATTTCTTGGCGTTTCTATACAATTTAGAGTTTTAACTACATGCCTGTTTACTTTATTTCTTGCAGATTCCACTCTTTATCACTCTATTTCGCATTTTAAAACATGCCCCCTTCTCGCCCTTTGATCATTTGTTTGCTCTTAGATGCCCTCTTGAGAGGAACACTTGAACTTTATTGAATAAGATAAAAAATTCTTGAACTTGTAATTGCACCTGATAACATTCTTGAATAAACAATGCACAGTGAAACCAGCACAGTTGTCAATTATTCAAATTTCTGAATGAAAAATGAAAATTTTGCTTAAAATTCTGTAAGTCTTTTTGCAGAAAAATTGTAACAGAAACCTGAATTTTCCAAAACATCATCCAGGAATATTAGAAACATCTTCCATTCGCTCTTACATTGAAAATCAGTAGTTAGAACTTTAGTAAATGGAATATCCACTGATTGATCCAGAAGCTAACAAGAGGGGGACCAAATTCTGAGTCAGAAAGCAAGTGTAGATAAAATGTTGGGCTCCTAAAACCTAAAGCCAAAAAGGCCTATAAAGGCCTTATGCTAAAAAGGCCCATTATTTGAGGCCCTGCAAAATTTTTGGGGGCTTAAACATTTTTCTGGGTCTTCAAAAGGGGGCTGGATCTGCCAGTGATATCTATTCAAAATATCTCATTTCTTTACACAACAATAACAGGAATGGTAATGCCATCCTGTATTCATCAGTTTCTTGTGTTCATTTACAATCAACTTTTCAATCATTCCAATATCTCTAGGCATCTTAGAATTATCTTGTGACTAGCAGGTATGTTCAAGAATTTTGTTTGATTTATATGGTTATATGTTAATATTTAATCTGTTTGACCACATGTTAACGTTAAGTTATGTATACAAGAACTGTCCTTAAGACTTCGAGACAATACTACGAAATTTAACATGATTCGCCCAACTGTCCTAAAAGACTCGTTGACTTTCACGAAATGACTAATGATAAGCTTGGGTAACGAATAGATCATGATAGAATTATTTTAAAATGTTATTTTAAAATGTTAGTTCGACCATTTATCGCCCAAGACAATAGTTTTTATTGACATCTCAATTGTTTGATATACACTTCAACTAAATTGAGCTTTTTATGTAAGAACTCTTACAGAAACTCATATTATGTCTCAGGTAGGATTTCATAATGGGGGGACTTATTTCATTGTAGAGAACATATACAATGGAGTACTATTTTTAATTAATATTCATTGAATAAAGATGATATCCCATGGTATCTTATAAAATTCAGAAAATATTGCTCTTAGGGAAACACACAGTCTCAATCACAATATTTACTGTACTTTAACAGGTGAATAACTTCTAGAATGCAATTAAACATTAAGGTAACATTTGTGTATAGCACCTTAACAAGTGTTTCCAAAACAAAACCTCAGCTTGACAATGCGGCTTAATATTGGAAATTTATGTTTACGCAAAGGCTTAATAACCAATTGAAATTTTATGGTTCTTGATTTAATGTTATTATCTCATCATGGGTTAAGTCTGAAAATGGAAATTGAATTAAATCCTTTTTCTGAAATTGATGAAGCGAATGTTTTTGCTTTTAGAATGGGTAAAATGTGACCTTGATTTAACTTGACTCTTGATTCCAGTTCAAGTTGACTCTATGCTTTTGACTGACTTTTGATATGACTTTTTTGAGTTTTGAGTTGACTCTTAATTTGAGTAACTATTAATTTGAGTGGACTCTTTGAGTCACTATTAATTTGAGTTGCCTAGGATTAACATTGACATGCATTTTGAAGATTCCTTCCAACCCCCCTGTTTGTTCTCTGGTGCAACTTGCATCTAGGGGACTTAGAAATATTAAAAATTGCTTCATTTGGATTCAAGGTTCACTCTGGGTACCTTTCCTTGAAGATTTCTTAAAATCTTAATTGGCATGTTAAGCAAGATCACAACTGTTTGTTACCATACAACCATTGACTTAATCTATTTTTTCTATTTATGAATGAATGAAATACAGTAACTTCACCTTGTGTCGAAAACTTTCAGTGATCTTGCAGATTTCACTCGATTTCTCTCGAAGATTTAATAAACTGCCTGAATTTTGGCAATTCTGTACAATTTAGAGTTCCTACTACATTTTTATGTAATTTATTCCATGCTCATTCCTCTTTTTTACCCTGTATTTTGTATTTCAAAATGTAACTCATACAATATTATTCTACAGGCATGTACCATGTGAATTGATTTCTTGTGGCACTTCGTTCCTTGGAATATAGTATAGATCAATATGTATCTCTAGTTAAGTCCACTCCCTGTATATATACTTGAGTATTTCCCCATATTGGTACAGGTAACATTTCTGTCTTGCGAAAGCTAGATGCTCTGATAGGAAGACCCCCTGGATTCTCACATTTACAGATGCACTTAAATGTTAAAGAACACCTGCTAATCTGAACACTTTTAGGCTTTCCCTTGTGGTGTTCACTAGACAGTATAAAACCAATTCTTAGTATATATGCAGAATATATTTATTGTATTTTATGAATGTTTATTTTTCATTTCATGTGCTGTCTCCAGACGAAGAACCAAAAAAGGTAAAGTGTTTTTTCATTATTATTTTCATCGATACCTTCTAACTTACATCCTTCATAGGTAGAACTGTAAATCATAGTGATAATAGGAAATATGTTCTGCTTTGATAGTTGTGATTATTAACTCAGTTGTGATAATTTTAGATTGCATCAATTAGGCCCTTTATATTGCTTGTCTTTGTATCAATATCCCCAGGAGTTTTCTTGGTGCTATATTCCAATTTTGGTCAAAATATAAGAATATTGGCTCGTTTTGATAGGGAAAAAATATCAATTGGTGACATGGCGTTTTCCACATTACGCAACCTGATTACTCCAATGCTTGGGATATCGCCAACATACTGTACAAGTTTTTTCCGTAGTTGTTCCAATTTTAGAATATTTCTGGCTAATGTCATTCCTTTTCATGTCTATTTTCCAAAAATCCCCAAAGTGCACACTTTATTTCAGGAAAACTAAAGATTTTTACAATAATGTATAATTTTTCTATTAGAATGGTTACCATTCTTATTATTTGGAAGAATTTAAACATTTTCATCCATTTTGCACTTTGAATCCATTAAAACTTAACCAATTTATACTATATCATGAATATTTTGGGAGATATTGTATTTGAGATTGTAAGGAACTGATTGGTAGTTCAATTGTACATGTTGCTCGTAATTTTGTCATCCCCATAGATCTGATTCTGCCTTTAACTAATACTCGGAACACTGATTAATGTTTACAATCACCAAACAATGTTTGTGGTTGCTAGTGAATCTCAC